GCCCTTCTCCCCGTGGCTCTGGCCTGGGGGCGCCCAAACTATATCCTCTTGCTGCCCCCGGATCTATGAAGGACGATGGAGGAGTCCGCGAGGGGCTCCCAGAGGGGCAGCAGGGACGGGCCCGCCCTTTCTAACTGACCCTGCCCCAGATCTTCCCAAGGTTGGGGAGAGCAGCTGCCTCCCCAGGATTTTCTGGGTGAGGCTGCCCTGAGCTTTCCGACAAAAAGCCTTTTGCCTAGAACTTACTGATGAGAGGGGAGGGGCTCTTGCAGGTTCTGATGGCCTCAACCTCCTGTCCCCCACCAGCCACGCTGACCAACCAGGTAAGGCTGGCCTGGCTGGGGGCAGTGGAGACAGTGAATTGAGAGGCCTCTCAGCACAGCCTGCCTGGCAGCGGGGCAATGCCTGCCCTTCCATCTGTGTCTCCTGCCCACCCGCCATGAGGAAGCCCTGGGTCTGCTCCCCTGGGATCAACCTTGAGCATTCCCGCAAGTGATCCTGGTGCCAGGGACGCTGAGGGCGACCTGCTCCTCCAGGCTGGAAGGTGTCCTTACTTCCACTTCAGACCCTTCTGGGGGTGCTGCCTTCCGCTGGATGCCCAGCTGGCCTCCGGCTGTAATTCTGTACAGTCTGAAGATGTTTCAATAAACACTGTGCTGGGAACCTCTGTACTGTGCTGTAACAGGGTCAACCAGGTGAGGTGGCTTCTGTGAGGACCCAGTCAACTGCCCTGAGAAACAAGAGCTGACATCCCAATCACAAACAATAGCCAAGGCAAACATCGCGTACCAGTGGGAAGGACCACCAGGCCCTGCCCTTGTGGCTGAGATGCTTGGGGAATCCAGCCTTCCCTCCTGGACTTTGCTCTGCCTCAACTTGGCACAGACTCTTGTCCCAGCTGAGAGTCGGCTTGTGTTGTGAGAGCAGAGACTGCACACGGTTCCATCCTCACCCTGCCAGGTTGACTTGCAAAGCCTTAATGCATAGAGCAGCTTTGCAGAGTGAACAGAAAAGCCAAATCCCACTTACTATGGCTGCAGCTTACACGGCTAAGGAAACAAGACCAGGGCTAGAACAACTTGCCTCATTCCTGGTTCATCCTCCTGCACCGCTTCTGCTGGACGATTGGTGGGAGGCCAGACTTTGCGCAGGTGAGGCTTGGGGTGGACTGAGGCTGTTCCAGGTGGGAGCCATCAGGGAGGGACCCTGGGGGGCATGGCGAAGCTGTTGTCCTAGCTACAGTGCAAGTTGGTGGGCGGCCAACTTGGAGCCCCTGCACAACCTGGATGCGGGGTTTGGGGTTCTGAGGATACAGGGAGCTGTCCTGAGTTCTTGAACAGAACAGGTGAGATGAGACATCAGAGCTCTAAATCCTGACCCTCCTTTATGCTTCTGCCTGCTCTGTTCTGTCCGACTGCTCATCCCCACACACCTCCACCTGTCTGTCTACTGACAAGGTTGGACCTCAGTCCCACCAAGTCATGCAGGACTTGGCCAGGCCTCTCTGATAAGCTCTTTCCAAGTCTTCCCTGGGACTTGAGAACTTTCTTGCTCTTCTTATTGGCTGATAAGTGGTTTCCCCTCAGTGTGAACATCGAGGTGTCCCAGCTCATGAGCCCAGTGGAGAGACCATGGACAGCTATTCCACATTTTGTTCCTCTTTCGTTCATTCCTCACCCCATGAATGTGAGCCAAACTCAGTATTGACATGGAACACAGTCTCTTAGTATTTAAGCCTTATCAGCCACAAACTAGATCCCTTCCTGTAAGCAAGATTTGATGAGGTTAGAAGGAAGAAAATCAAGTATTTTCCAGGATCACCAGGAACACAGGCATGGAGGTTGGTACGCTGTACATAGTTGCTACCGCCAGGTGGCACCCTGCTGTTCCGTGGTGCACAAAGGTGGTTTCAAAGCCCCTGCCCCAGTCAGGCCCTCAGCCCTTCAGATGCCTCAGGAGAATCTTGTTCCCAACAAGAAAAGCAATTCCTATGAGGGATCTGTCGCCTTGGGCAGATTCCCTGCTCCGGAAGATGTAATGGATGTGGATATTGGCTGGGCCAGGTCCTGGGAATATGTGTAAACCGCATAGCCCCTGCAGTGGAGAAGACACCTGACTGGGGGCGAGGAGGCCCCAGGAGATGCAGAGCCAGGGGAACCTCTCTGAGCCTCACTCCCCCTTGTGTGTACCTTCAACAGGTGCCAGGTATCCTTGAAAAGCAACCTGCCCATGGTATCTGAAAGCCAGGCCCCTGAGCAGTGGATGTGGGAGCGCTGGCTGGGGGCCCTCCTAGAGGCAGGACCCAGCATTATCCAGTAATCCTTGACCAGCCTGGTTTAATCTGCCCACCTCTTTCCTGTACAGTATATAGATGGCTGACTTCAGAAAACAGGTTCAAAACCCAGCTGTGAACCACGTCACAGCCTTCCCCCTCCCCTGT